AGCATCCCAACCAGTATCCCTAGCAGCACCAACAAAGACACGACAACGACCAAGACTATCATAACCACAACCACCAGCACCACCAACATTACCACAACCAAATCCACCAACACGACTATTATCAGCACCTTCAGCGCCTCTAGCATCATCATCAACACCTATACCACCGCGAAAACCAGCATCCACAACAACATTAGTAGCAGCAGCAGCACCACCGCCTCCGCCGATTCTACCAACACCTTACTAACTTTACTAACACCAACAAAACTACTACTGCTATTATTACTACTAGTAATAATCATGCCTATTACATATTCCATGCTTGCTTTCTACTTGAAAAAATGTAGACATTCCATTAGTAACCCCTTTTTCGCCGTCGATAAGTAGCCTTTTATCTGTTAAGGAAAGCTTGAATTGAAATTTTTGTCATTCATTTAGAACAAAAATCTCTTCGGCTAAAGGAATGCTGAACGCCTATAGTAATTAGATTGAGTATTCTCTAATTCAAGGTAATTACGAACAAAACCACCGAATAACGTTGTTTTGCTTTAAATTTCTATTAAAATGTGAGTGGAAGAAATTCGCAAATTGTCCCCATTAGAAATCGAATAAGGATTTATTCGTGACTTTTCAACGTGAAACTATTGAGAAAATTTTCGAAAGCCAGCTTCTGTTGATAATTACTGGATAATGAGATGTGGTAGTCTCGAAACCCTACTCTAATACGAATTACTGGATAAACCGACTGGTCTTACCGACATAGTGGCAGCCGAGGCACTACAAGAGACGATAGAATGCCGGACAAATGATTCACGAATATGCATGTTAATGCTTGGGTGGAGAAGAAAAAAAAGGATGATTCCCCAAATAATGCAATTTCATTAAAAGCTAAATATTTATTTACTTTTGTGCTTATATACCAACTTCTTACTTAAGAATTACTGATCATTACTTAAAGTTAAGATAGGCAACTTCGCTGATTTTAATAACAAATGCATGCTTGCCTAATGGGCGATCAGAAAATAAAATGTGTTTTGGGTCCGCTTACAT